GTGTCCACATTTGTTTTATATGTGTGTGTTTGTATGTGTGGTTATCCACTATTTCCAGCACTATTTGTTTAAAAGACTCTTCTTTTTCCATTGACTTGCTTTTTCTCCTTTGTCATGGATCAGTTGACTATATTTGTGTGGGTCTATAGGAAAGGAGTTGACTTCTGTACCCTTCAACCTTGCTATACTCTCTTATTAATTTCAGGAGTTATCTCTGTTATTGCGAATTCTTTCAGAGGTTTCACAGAGATAATCATGTCATATGGAACAAATGTTATGAATATAGCTACAAGATTCATGAAGATGTTCTTTCTTAGGAAGCGGAAGTTCCCCTCTATTACTAGTTTCTTATGGTAAATGGATGCTGGATTTTATCAAGTCCTTTTTTTTTTTTCATTTCCTCCTTTCCTTTCTGATATTAGTGATTTCTATCTTCCATTGTTTCTTTGTTTTCTTGACTAGATGTTTATCAATTTTATTAGTCTTGTCAAAGAACCAGTTCTTTTTGTTTTAATTTTCTCCATTCAGGCCGGCCCCGTGGCTTAGCGGTCAAGTGCACACGCTCCGCTACTGGCGGTCCGGGTTCGGATCCCGGGCGCACACTGACGCATTGCTTCTCCGGCCATGCTGAGGCCGTGTCCCACATACAGCACCTAGAAGGATGTGCAGCTATGACATACAACCATCTACTGGTGCTTTGGGGGAAAAATAAATAAATTAATTAATTAATTAAAAAAAAAACACTTAATTTTCTCCATTCATTTCCCACAATGACATTGATTTCTTTTCTAATTTTATTATTTCTTTTATCGTGTTTACTTTAGGTTTAATTTGCTCTTCTTCTTATTGTTTCCTAAGGTAGATGCTTACATTATTGGTTAGAGATCTTTGGTTTTTCCAATGTATTTGCTCCATGACATAAATTTCCCTCTAGGCACTGCTTTTTATTCACCCCATAACTTTTGATATGTTGTGTTTTCCATTTATTTAGGTCAAAATAATTTTTTGTTTCTCTTACATCTTTGTCTTTGATCCTGTGTATTCTTTAGAAACATGTTCTTGAATCTCTACATATTGGGGGTTTTTCCAACTATCTTCCTGTTATTGATTCCTAGATAAATTCTTGCATGGTGTGAGAGCGTATCTTGTGTGATTTCTGTTCTTTCAAATTTGTTGACGTGTGCTTTATGTCCCAGAATGTGGTTTGTGAATGTTCCATGTGAACTTGAGAAGAATGTATACTCTGCTGTTGTTGCATGAAGTGTTCCATAGATCACAGTGAAATCCAGTTGTTCCACAGTGCTGTTCAGTTCACCTCTGTCCTTCCTCATTTCCTGCCTACTGGAATTTATAATTTATGATAAGGGGTGTTGAATTCTACAGCTATAGTACTAGATTCATCTATTTATTCTTGCATTCTCTCAGTTCTTGCCTCATGTATTTTGCCCCTCTGTTGTTTTGCAGGTACACATGAAGCATTGCTGTGCCTGCTTGCAGAATAGACCCCTTTATCAGTATCTAATGCCCCTCTATCTCTGAATTTTCCTTGGTTTGAAATCTGCATTGTCTATAATTCATATGCCTATGGCAGCTTTCTTTTTCTTTTTTTTTTTTGCTGAGCAAGCTTTGCTCTGAGCTAACATCTGTTGCCAGTCTTCCTCTATTTTGTATGTGGGTCATTGCCATAGCATGGCCACCAACGAGTGGTGTAGCTCCGCACCCGGGAACTAAACCGGGCTGCTGAAGCAGAGCACGCCGAACTTAACCATTAGGCCACAGGGCCAGCCCTATGGCAGCTTTCTTTTGATTAGTGTTGGCATGGTCTATTTTTTCCATCCCTTTACCCTTCATCTATCTGTGTCTTTATATTTAAAGTGGGTTACTTGTATACAATATATAACTCAGTTTGTTTTTTAAAAATCTGATGTTACTGTCTCTCAGTTGTATTGAAACCATTGATGATTATAGTAGTTATTGATACAGTTGGATTAATATTTACAAACCTTTTATTGTTTGTTTCTTTTTGTCTTCCACTTGTTTTCTGTCTTCTCAGCTTTAATTGAGCACTTTATCTGTTTCTTTTTTTCCTCCTCTCTCAGCATACCAATTACACAATTTTTTTTGGCTAGGAAAGATTCCCTCTGAACTAACATGTGTTGTCAATCTTCCTGTCTCTCCCTCTCTTTTTTTCCCCAAAGCCCCAGAAAATAGTTGTATATTCTGGATGTAAGTCCTTCTAGTTCTCCTATGTGAGCTGCCACCACAGCATGCCTACTGACAGATGGGTGGTGTGCTTCCACACCTGGGAACTGAACCCGGGCCACCGAAGTAGAGCGTGCCAAACCCTAACCACTAGGCCATCAGGGCTGGGTCTGCCAATTACACATTTTTTTAAAAACTCTTTTACTGGTTGCCCTTGAGTTTTCAGTCCTCATTTACAACTAACCCACCTCCTCTGTCAAGTAGCAATATACCACTTCACTGTGTACAAGTACCTCTTAACACACTATTCCCAATTTCCCCCTCCCTCTCCCTTGGTCACATTGCTGTCATTTATTTCACTTGTCTATAAGCTTCTCATTACCAAATATGTTGTTGCTAATATTTTAAACAAAGTCATATGTTACATTAATCATAAGGAATACAAAAGATATTTTACCTTCATTTATTCCTTTTCTAATCCTCCACCTTCATTGTTTATATTCTTTCTGATAAATTTTTGAATGTTTCTTTCAAAGTAGGTGTACTCATGACAAATTCTCTTAATTTTTGTCTCGGAAAGTTCTTATTTCACCTTTGTTTTTGAAGGATAATTTTGCCTGACACAGAATTCTAGGAGAGTATTTTTTTTCTTTCACAACTTGAAATATTTCACTCCACTCTCTTCTTGCTTGCATGGTTTTTTAAAAGAAGTCCAATTTAATTCTAATCTTTGTTTCTTTATACCTAAGGTGTTTTTCCCTCTGGCTTCTTTCAATATATTCTCTTTGTCTTTGATTTTTCTCTAGTTTGAATATGATATCCTTGAGTGTGCACTTTTGTAATTTATCATGTTTAGTGTTCTCTGAGCTTCCTGGATGTACAGTTGGTTGTATATCATTAATTTTAGGAAAATCCCAGTGAGTGTTATTTCACTGATTTCTTCTGTTTCTGTCTTTCTTTTCCTTCAGGTAGCCCATGATGTGTATTTAAAACTTCTGTTTAAAGAAGGTTCTCCAAGGGTTCAGAGATAATTGTGTTCTGTCTTTTTTGTCTTTGCATTAGACTCTAGTGAAATAGATTTTTTTGAGTACAGGCCATGTTAAGAACAGAATATTTGGGGCATATTTCAAAATGCCCTGTTTATTTTCTCTTTTCCAATTCTGGAGACACTGAGTTGCCCTGTGACCTAAATGCCCTGATGGATCTAAGAAGAGACATTCATTTCAAGCTTTTTTGCTTTTTTTCTTGTGAGCTCAGGAATGACAGCTTATAAATTACTTATATGCCATACCAGAAACCGGGAGTTTTCGTCTCCAATTTTTGATGATTGACTGTTAACAGCTTTAAAGTTTCATTCCTCCTTCTCCCTCTGTGACCCACATCAATCTAAGGTGATAGAAAAGTCTTAGAGCTTCCTCCTTTGACCATTGCAAGAGATTGAATCCATGCAAACTCCTGCCTTTGTGTGTGAACTCTCACCCTAGCCCACCCCATAACCTCAAAGTAAAAAAAAAGTCCATGCACCTTTCCTTGCTCTCTCAAGCTATTTCATGCCTGCTTGAGAGGCCTGCCTTACTCTCCCTCAGAGACATCAATTATGGAAGTAATAAACCCTTTCATACCATATTGGCAGTGTGTGTTGTCATCAGCTGAGGGATTCTTATGCTCAGAGGTTGAGCTATCATGCTCCTTTACTCCCTGGGGAAAGTTGGAAATGACAAAAGAAGGGAAGGCAGCCTCTAGAATGGCTAATTGGGAAACACTTCCTCTTGAAGTGGGAGAATGGAAATTTTATGTTCTTTGGAGGAAAGCACTGCTGACACCTTTATGTATTTTATAATCATGGACAAATTGACCATCAATCCTTTGTGGACTTCAATGACCTCCCTTGCAATCTGCAGCTCTTAACTTGTTCCTCAAGGGCAGCAAGGCCCAGGGTACACTGTTAGGGTTTGACCAGAAAGAGCTCTTCTGGCACATTATTATCTCACTGTGTGTTCTAAAATTTGGCTGGAAGCAGTCCTGAGGCACGTGAGTATGGGGATTTTGTGATCTAAGTTGTCATGTCATCTTCCTCGTGTCTGAGCTCTAAGTTCCAAATAACTTTCTAGCCCCATTAAATTGGACAGAGAGAAAATGGAAGAACAGAGTCTGTGATAAATATTATACAAGTTAAAAGCACAACTGTTCCACAAGAATATTTATATTCAGCCAACTGCATCTGATTACTTCTAATGGTCTGGAGGGCTTTAGGATGATATGTCCAGCTGAACCTTGTTAAAAGTTTGCTTTCCACAGGCCGCCTGAACTCTCATGCTTGGTGAGGGCATAGAAGAAAAAGCGTCCAGTTTTCAGTGTGTTTTTATCCACTTAAACCTCATGCAGATTTGACCCTCTGCCTCATGGAGTGCTGTAACTGGTGGATAATAAGGAAGAAAATGAAAGAATTTTTCTCACAAGGAATTGATGGTCTTAAAATGATAATATTTGTGGGCCGGCCTGGTGGCTTAGTGGTTAAGTGCGCATGCTCCGCTGCTGGCGGCCCAGGTTCGGATCCCGGGTGCGCACCGATGCACCACTTCTCCGGCCATGCTGAGGCTGCGTCCCACATACAGCAACTAGAAGGATGTGCAACCATGACATACAACTATCTACTGGGGCTTTGGGGAAGAAAAAAAGGAGGAGGACTGGCAATAGATGTTAGCTCAGAGCCGGTCTTCCTCAGCAAAAAGAGGAGGATTAGCATGGATGTTAGCTCAGGGCTGATCTCCCTCACAAAAAAAATAAATAAATAAAATGATAATATTTGTTTCATTTATATAGCATATCTGTTATTTTACAACATGCTCTGGAACCTGCAATTAGCTATAAATAAGATGTAATGTAAAGTAAAAATGTGTAATAAATTTCCATGTGTTCATGTTGCTGTTAAATTTATGAAGAAGTGTGGACAGAGAGTAAGTTTCTGATGATCAAGTCACAGAATAAATGTTTGGAGATGACAGAATCATGCATAACCTTCCTGTAAATGGAGTATAGATGTCCATTGCTATGAGTGTCATGCTTCCTACTATACACATATTTGGTATGTTTTAGGATTCAATGGCCTTTGAGGATGTGGCTGTGAACTTCACCCCAGAGGAGTGGGCTTTACTGGATCCTTCACAGAAGAAACTCTACAGAGATGTGATGCGAGAAACCTTCAGGAATCTGGCCTCTGTAGGTAAGGATGACAACTTCCCTTCAGTCTGTCAATTAGAGAACAAGTGTTTCTTGCCTATCAACATTGTTCTAAGATGTGGAATGTGGAAAGGGAGCACTTTGATAAATAGACTAGGCACTATCATAGCTCATCATGGACTGAGAAGGTAATAATTTTTGTATAATTTCTAATATTTTGGAATTATGTTTCTGGATCTGCATTTTAGGAAAAAAATGGGAAGATCATGACATTGAGGATTCAGACAAAAATCAGGAGAGAAAACTAAGGTGAGTCACACTCATAATGGAAAGCAGTGTCTCATGTGAGAATCCTGATATGTTAGAAAATTTTAAAAAGAGGCAAACAAAACAACCACTGCTTCAAATTTATTTCTTCTCAGAATATTTTCACCAAATTACTTTTGGTAACATGACATAGATGTTCAGTGTTTGCCAAATATTTCACTTGGGAACAGTATTAATAAATATATAATAAATATATCACTGTTTTGACAATAGCAAGGGTGAAGTCCTCTTGCAGAGCATTATCTTCAATTTCAAACACTTCAGACAAGGCAGAAAACCTACACTTTTGCTATAAGTCATAAAAATGTAGTTCAAATATTTTACTAATAAATATAAAATGATTAGTAAAGAAATCACTAATAATACATTTCTCATTTTTGACAGAAGTTATACAGTAGAGAGAATCTGTGAAGGTAAAGAGAGTAGTCAATGTGGAGAAAATTTCAGCCTTATTCCAAATCTTAATCTGATCAAGAAAACTCTTACTGGAGTAAAACCATGTGAATGCAGTGTGTGTGGAAAAATCTTCATGAGTCATTCATCCCTTAGTAGGCACATCAGATGTCACACTGGATACAAACCATATGAGTATCAAAAATATGGAGAGAAACCATATAAATGTAAGGAATGTGGGAAAGCCTTCAGTTATTTCCAATATTTTAAAAAACATGAAAGAAATCACAATAGAGAGAAAACCTACAAATGTATGGAATGTAGGAAAGTCTTTATGTGGCTCACAACCCTTCGAAGACACATGATAACAGCACACACTGGAGAGTCTCCTTATACATGTAAGGAATGTGGGAAAGCCTTCATTTGTTCAAGTTCACTTCAAATACATGAAAGAATTCACACTGGAGAGAAACCCTATCAATGTCAACAATGTGGAAAAGCCTATAGATATCATCAAACTTTTCAAATGCATGAAAGGACTCACACAGGAGAGAAACCCTATGAATGTAAAAAATGTAGTAAAGCCTTCACTTATCCCAGTTCTCTTCGAAACCATGAAAGAATTCATACTCGGGACAAACCTTATGAATGTGGGAAACCCTTTATAGCTCTCTCAAATCTTCAAGTACACATGATCACTCACATTGGAGATGGACCTTATAAATGTAAGGAATGTGAGAAAACATTCATTTCTCCCAGTGCATTTCAGTTACATGCAAGGAGTCACACAGGAGAGAAACCCTATGAATGTAAGCAATGTGGTAAAGCCTTCAGATATTACCCTTCCTTCCAAAAACATGAAAGAAGTCATACTGGAGAGAAACCTTATGAATGTAAGGAATGTGGGAAAGCCTTTATTTGTCACAGAAACTTTCGAAGACACATGAGAATGCACACTGGAGAGACACCATATAAATGTGAAAAATGTGGGAAAGCCTTCAATCAGCGCAGTTATTTCCGAAGGCATGAAAAAATTCACTGGATAAAGCCTCTTGAATGTAAACAGGATGGGAAAGACTTCAGTTGACCCACATCTTTACATGTGAAAACTCCCTTGGAAAAGAAATAAAAATATAAGTAACATGAGAAAGCTTGATGGAAGTTAATCTATGTGTAATGTTCCAGAAAACTTTCAACGTGAAAGACTTCTTATAAAAATAAATAAGTTGTGTTTACCAAGACTCTTAAAGTGCACCATTGTACTGTGGATTTCTACTAATTACTTTCAGAAATGAATATTGAGGGGAGATAATTCTGTAAATTGTCTTTCAACAATAGTACAAAAGATTAATAAGTAGTGCTTTTTCCTTAAATTGGGGAATATTTTCTCTTTCCTTTTTGAAGCCTATTGGATCCATGGGTGAATTGAAGTGTATTTATAACACAATTAAATTTAATATTTTTATGTTTTATTTGTTCTCTGTTAAGGAGCCATTGAAAAATGAGAGTTTGGTATTTGTTGGGATTTTCCTACTGGCCTGTGACAGTTCGTGGATATCCCTAATCCATTATAATCATTCTACCTTTCTTACTGAGAAAGCTCATTTTTTGGGGTGAAGGATATAAAAGTGTTTTTTCATTTTCTATACTAATAAAGAGTTGGAATAAATTTATACATATGGCAAGTTTATGAAAGAGTATAGTTTCATGTGAATTATTATTTTCATATTTGGGCCTTTGCTTTTTGTCTTTCCTTCTGACTGGTATTGGGTGAATAGACTTTGAGTTAAGAGAGACCTAATAGGGCAACAAAATCTAGAGCTGGAGATATTCCCCCTGTGGGTCATGTTAGGGACTAGATTTTCCAGAATCCTTCCCCTTTATGGTTCCATGTTAGAATTCACTGGTATGCTCACTTACATGTGATTTGGAAGGCAGAAGCAAAGAAGGCATTAGTCAGATTTTGGAGAGAGAGATACATAGGAGCTTTGAGGACACTATCTTCCAGCACCTTATCCTGATGCTGTCACTTTCCAATCAAGACTATCCTCAAAACCACCAACAACTATTTGATATCCACTTTCTGAGAGGTGTAAATTTCCACTGATATCTTCACAAAATCAACATCAAAGATCCATCAGAGGTTGGATACGGTCATGCACTGCATAATGACATTTTGGTCAATGACGGACTGCATATATGATGGTGGTCCCGTGAGATTAGTACCATATAGCCTGAGTGTGTTGTAGGCTGTACTGTCTAGGTTTGTGTAAGTACACTCTGTGATGTTTGCACAATGATGAAATCACCTAACATTTCTCAGAACGTATCCCTGTCATTCAGTGGGGTATGATACACATGACTGTATTTTTATAAGCCCTCTTGTGTCCCCCTGGAAACTAATTCAGACTTTCATGCTTGGGAGTATTCTCTGATTCCCTCTTGTCTAGATAATATCCATATAAGGTCTAATTTGTATAGGAAGCACCTTATGCCGTTAGTAATGCTAGTGAGCATGTTTTCCTGATTCACCATGACATCTACAATGAGGCATAAAAAGAAGGATGTGGGAGTTTGTTTCTCTGCTGCATTGTGCAGTGGCTGCCTTGGCCCAGTGCTTGCACGTGAGAACAGTCCCCTTTCTCACGTCAGGAAGACTGTGTGGGTTTCCTGTTACTTGTAGCTGAACCACTACAGGGACCACTATTGAACCACTATTGAGGGAATATTGAGTATTCCCTCAATAGGTTTTCCATGATGTTTGATTGTATGTTATTAAAACTACATGCATTTCCTTGTGAAATGAACACTTCTGTAGTTTCATAGAAATAATTTATTAACTGTTTTCTAAGCTGTCGTATGCTTAACATATGTTTTTCATTTCCTTAGAGGATATATTAAAATATCCCATTATGGTTATGTATTTTCAGATAAACTTTGCAATTTTCTTCATTTAATTGTTATGTATTATGTCAGTATTATGTGCGTACAAGTTCAGGTATTTTTTTCCTCAAATTTTATTTTTTATTGTTTTATAGTTACAATTTTTGTCATGAAACTAATTTCTCATTCATTCTTAATACCAAAAACTTTAGTCATAGTTTTCTCAGTGCCCTCTTGCCAGTGACCTGCAGGATTGCACCTGGAATCAATAATAAGAATGACCACAGAATACACATGACTTGGGTGTAACATAAGTTGCTTGGGACTTTTATAGGATGTTGGCTTGTGTCAGATGCTTTGATTGCTATTCAAGGAAGCAAGACTTTTTTGTGTTGAAGCCTGTGAGGAGGTAAACTTTATTCTATCATTGGTAATCATAATCATTGTTTTCTTTGTGTGTGTGTGTGTGTGTGTGTGTGTGTGTGTATGAGGAAGATCAGCCCTGAGCTAACATCTGATGCCAATCCTCTTTTTTGCTGAGGAAGATTGGCCCTGGGCTAACATCTGTGCCCGTCTTCCTCTTCTTTATATGGGCCACCGCCACAGCATGGCTTGACAAACAGCGCGTCAGTGCGCATCCGGAATCCAAACCTGCAAACCCCTGGCCGCCGCAGCGGAGCACGCGCACTTAACCGCTGTGCCACCAGGCCAGCCGCATAATCATTGTTTTCTAGAAGGCAAAAACAAGGTAGTGGACCTAAACTTAATTCATAAGAAGCTCCAGTTAGTGATATTGGTAAGTAGGGGGGAATAGTGGTCCTTTTTATGATTTGGAGCTTTATCTTTTACCATTTTTAGAGAGAATGGTTTCAAAATCCCCTTATGAATGTCTTGGTCCATCATGGTCACAGATTTCCTTTCATGAAGAAAGAAGTGTGTGACATTTTTCTCTTCCAACAGGAGAAAGATTTGCCCTTGCAATGAATGCAAGGCCAGCTCCTGGTCCTCTGGAACAGCTTGTCTTTCCTACTTATTACCTAAACACTAGTATTTCCTACATTGTATTAGACACCGTTTACCATAAAGTACCTCAGTTAAAATGTAGAAATTCACCTCTTAGTATACTACCTAATATTTTTAATATCTCCTTATGACTCAAATGAGGCATTTGAGTTTAGGTAAATTGTGAGACAACACAAACCTAGGAAGGGAGAGAGACAGGACCACTATGCCAAATCAAGGCTTTCTTTCTCAGCGACTATACTCTTGATGCTAATGTTTCAGCATTCCTCATTGCTATGCACTTTTGAGTCAACTTACCCAATTTAGCACAAATAAGGCATTGTAGGATTTGAATATAGCTGCATGAGACAAACAAGTTCTTGCAGTCTTATGTTTTTGCTTATACTTTTGTGGGAAAAGAGAGATGGTTAACAAATGGTAAGGCTTTGGTTTATAACATGGAGATAAGGGCTTTAGTGGAATGTAAAAAATATAACGTGAGATAATAGGCTGGGGTGTGTATATTCTTTTCTATGAGGTTGGGAGCCTCGGTGAGTGACGATGTCACTATTGATCACTTGTTTTTCCACCATGTAATGCATCTTAAACACTGTTTCAAGAACTCCTTGGGTGTGGAAGTAGAGCGCAGCCATAAAGAAGGTCCTGCGTTCCTGTGATTAACAGTAAAGATTCCCCATAAGATAAAGATGTAGATATCACTCATCTTCATTTTTGCAATTGTTAAACATTTTGCATATAGAGTATGTAGTCATGAGTTTGGGCATTGTTATCTAGGACTTGGGATATCCTACTGATTTGGGCCACAAGTATTTGTTGTGTCTTTTTGTGTTTAACATCATTTCAGAGGATTTTCATTTACCTTTATTACAGTATTTGGCATTTTCATTTTGTTGCTGTACATACTGAGGGACACAGTATATCCCCCATTAAACCATGGAGTTTCTCCTGTTTAGGGAAACAGTTGCATTCATCTGTTACTCCTCTACTCATACTCACACTGTTCCAGCTCATCCTGAGTGTATTCTATGAATAGAGTGAGATCTGTGCACGTCCACTGTGATCTCCCAGTGGAAACACCAAAAAGAGCTATGAATGTTTTGAGGCAAAATCCACGAAAAAATTGAGGTGAGCTGTAGTGAGAGGGTATTATTTTGAGTAATTTCCTAATTTAGTATAAAAGGAGATAGTTAGCATCGATGACCCATAAACCCCAGAGCCCATTTAGTTGTTCACAGGTTTCATTTCCACATGCTTAGACGTCCAGCACATGTGGGAGAGTGGGAAAGTATGAGTTTTTATAGAGAGCAGGCGTATTCAATCTTTTCCATTTTGTTTAGTGTTAATTTACTCATTGGAGGGGTTCAAATGGTCACTACAAGAGTGTTCTTTTGGAGTGATGGTATGCTTTCCATTTTTTGATGGCAGTATTCCTATACATTTGTGAAAACTCACAAGTACACTTAAAATATATATATAAATTAATAGAAAATGAACGACACAATCGCTTTCATGTGCTAGGAGAATGTTTAGGTCTCCTGATCCTTGATTTTTGTGTTCAACTCTTTCCACCACTGTGGTATCCTTGGAAGAACTGAAAGACTGGGGAAGAAGGACACAGGCCCTAACAGGCCTTTCTTGCAACCCTGTCTTAATTGAGAAAACACCCCCTAAGGTTGCACCTGCCCTCATCTCATACTCATAACTAGGAGTGAAGTGAGAGGGCTCCCAGAATCTTCGAGTTTAAATCAGGTTCTGTGGACAGATCTGTAGAAATACTGTGGTTCTGAAACATAAAGGTGTCTCCCAAGTGAGATCTGCCTGGCAACACCCTCATTCACATGCATCAGCATTGTTTCCTTCCATTGCCATCCATAGACCATTTCCAACTCTTTGTTTCCCAATCCAAGCCCCTTCCACATCTTTAGAAATACACACATATCACACTCTGGAAAATTTCTCTGAGGCAACATCAGGGAGCTCTAAGCTAAGAGAGTGACAGAAGCAGTGGCAGAATTTATGTCATGAGCACATTTCCCTCCACCACAGCAATCCCAGCTATCGCATATTTTTCAGATCTACTTGCTTATTCACACAACACTTAAAGGGTACGGGGGTTTCTTTCTGAAGCCACAAAAA